GGCGCTGGCGGCGGCCTGGATTTCTATGACGTGAGCCTCGTCGACGGGTACAACCTGCCGATGGTAATCGAGACCACCGGGGGGTCGGGCACGTGCGCGTCGACCGGGTGCGTGACGGATCTGAACCGGGCCTGCCCGGCGGAGCTCCGGTTCGGCGGGGGGGAGGCGTGCAGGAGCGCGTGCGAGGCATTCGGGAGCCCGGAATACTGCTGCAGCGGCGCGTTCAACTCACCTGCCGCTTGCCGGCCGTCGGTTTACTCGCAGATGTTCAAGACGGCGTGCCCGAGGTCGTACAGCTACGCCTATGATGACCCCACCAGCACTTTCACTTGCTCCGGCGCGGATTATACGGTGACCTTTTGCCCCTCCATGCCAAGGTAAAATTGAAAAATTGCTCTGTTTTTATTTTATCCTATTATTAATTGTTGGGAGATGCTCCGTCGGGTTTGTGACCGTTAGATCAACTATTTCGACGATTACATGATGATCTAATATAACGTTACGAACTTCGACATAATGGTTCCGTAACGGGACCTTAACGTTTCCTTGTTTTTTAAAGTTATATTTCTTACTATGCAGAGGAAATGCAATATTTGGCATTGTCTTTTAAATTTGCTTATGTTATTTTTTAAATATGATATGATATTTTAGTTTGAGATTACATATTTATTGAAATAGTATGATAACATAAGTGAACTCTATTTTTCTTTTTAATTTTTATATTTCTAGTGTGAAATGGGTTCCAATAAAGCATCCCACTTATTGGCACTGCATTAAGTACATCACATTTTCTAACAATTTCATCATCATATTATAAAAAGCATCAACTTCAACTAAAGAATCTTGCAAAAGATCTTCAATTTGACTGCCAAAAAAAAAGGCTCACTAAATACTTAATATTGCCATTAATTAACCTTAGCAACAATTCACACTTGATCTTAAACATCTTATCACATTTTTTGCAGCCAAAAATCCTCAAAAGATCCACCTACAACAGTGACACCACCATCAGGGACCACTAATAGTGATGGATCTCTATCAGGATCAGGCCCAATTAATATGGGCGGGTCTGAATCCGGACCCGGGTTAGGTTTTACCGGGTCGGGTCAAGATCAAGAATTCGGGTCAGGGTCTCAAGCAATGATGACAACAGATGGATCTTGGTTAGCTGGTTTAGCTATGGGGGAGTCTAATGTGGTTCACTGCACCTCAGCTTTGCATTATGCTGTCTTATTTGCTGTTGCTGTTTTTATATTATCAGAATTTGTTTAGTAATTTTAGTGTTTTATATTAGTGTTAACTTGTTTTGTTTCTAGGCCTAGGCTACCTTGAAAAGAATGAAATTTATGGAGATTTGGCTCATTGGGGTCTTTTTATATTTGTTTCATACTTAGAGGAGTGGCTTTATATTTTCATTTCTTATATATTTTTATTTTCTTTTTTTTTTCTTCACCTTGAATTGTGTATAAATGTGATGCTGATTTTGGTGTTTATTTTATTTTTTATTTTTTATTTTTTTTTTAACTCTTTTTTCATTGTTTTCTAGAACTGGTCACATATTAGAACTGCAAGAACCCATTTACCAGTTTGTGCTGAAATGTAGTCAATAGTCAATGTTAACAAAATCAATGTTTTTTAATTCAAAACATTGGGAAATGCTATAGTCTCGTTGCGGAATTATTTCGTCAGAGTTTGTAATCGTTAGATCAATTTCGTCGGGATTTGTAATCGCTAAATCATCATGTAACCGTCGAGGATAGTTGATCTAATAGTTACAAACCCTGACGGAATGGTTCTGTAACAGGACGTAGCATCTCCCCCAAAACATTACAGGGGGCATGGATGATAAATTTGGCCCAACAAACAAAAATGAAAAAAGTTTGAAAATAACTCATAATCCAGCAATGCATGGATGATGTGAGAGAACCAGAGATAGAATTCTTTTTCATAGCATCCCCTTTTGTGGCCCTTCAAGTGTGGACAGTGACAAAAGAAAAAAAAATGGTGGTCCTTTGGATTTTATTCAATTTCCCAACAATCTTTGCATCAATCTTGGCATTTTACATGCTGAGTTTGTATCTTTAAGTATGTACATTAACATTATAAGACCAGCCTTCAATCATGAACTGGTTCATCAGAAGAAAAGAATTAAAATAACACAGCAGCAACCTGAAGAGTCGACGAACAAGCTCAGTAACATACACAAAAATCGCGACACTATGTCGAAAACCGGTAAGATTGTTTTTTTTTTTTTTTTTTCCACCGTAAAAAAATGAACAAAAAAATGAATCGGTACAAGGTAAAATTTGTATGGTTCATGTTGAGCTTCTTCTTACCTGTAGTAGATGTTTGTTCTGTTCCATCTCTGTTATCTCTTTCGTGTTTTGCTTTTCGATTCGCCCTATCATTTTTCACCGCCCATATGCTTTTTTTACTGTTTAACAGCACACACACACATTGAAGCACATACTTGCAACAATGTTCATCAACAAGAAGAACAAAACACTCCACAGGATGAATCATGAATCTAACTTTCTGCAGATCAAACTAGTTAATATTATTCAATTTTTTTTCCTAAAAACTGAAATCATCGAACAAATCACAATGCAAGCAAGCATGGCCGGTAAAAAAACCTCCTCACAAGCATAAACAACAGTTAAAAACACGTCAAAGCAAGAATAACCGATCGGCTCACATGAAAAGATCGAAAAAAAAAATTTCTAGTCTCTTTCTACCTTAAAAGTTATGCTGCAAGTACAAATGCTCGTGTGGCGAAGCTGGCCCAATCTCCTCCACAGCCACAGGCCCAACAACACTCACATTGCAGCCCATATTCCGAATCTCCACCACGTTTTTTGCCCCATCAGCATCACATTCCGAAACCGACGATTTCCTCCTCTGCGACGAGGCGACGCTCGGAAAAGTAATCCAAGACGGCGCTCGAAACTCGAGCCTCTGCTCGTCACAATCTGTCTCGGATCTTTGTGACGACTTCTTATGAAGCCTACTGCTCCCGAGCACAACTTCGCTCGGCAAAATCGGCTGATCGCTCGACGGGCTTCCCATTAGTAAAGCCAAAGCTCGTTCGAGGCTTGTCGTAACTTTATCCATCGATGGCCTCTCTTTACCTCTCATCCTCACACACTTTCCCGCAATATTCGCGATTTTACTCAAAGCCTCGAGATCTTCCGGTGGCTTTAGTGTCGGATCGAGAATCGACTCAATTTTCCCGTTTTTTATTAGTGGCACGGCCCACTCGACTATATTCCCTTCTTCATATTGCATATCGATCGCCTTTCGTCCGCTTAGTATCTCGAGCAATAAAACCCCGAAACTATAGACATCGGATTTTGTCGTGAGGTAGTGTAACCGATAGTATTCCGGGTCGAGATAACCGAGCGTGCCAGCTGGCAGCTCGGCTAATGGCGAGCTACTATTAGCCGGGCCGAGTAGGGAAAGCCCGAAATCAGCTACTCGAGCGTTATGCTCTTCGTCGATTAAAATGTTTGACGACTTTATGTCACGGTGGATGACCGGCGGGCAAGCGTATCCGTGTAGATATTCGATCCCTCGGGCGGCTTGAACAGCTATCGTGACTCGTCTTATCCAATCGAGCGGCTCTTTGACGATTTCTTTGTTTTTAGTGTGTAAGTGTTGATGTAATGAGCCATTCGCCATGAACTCGTAGACCAAAAGGCGTTCGCCGCCTTCTTCGCAATAACCGAGCAAGTTGAGCAAATGCGCGTGGTTTAATCTCGAGAGTAAATCGAGCTCGGTGTGAAACTCCTTCGAGTTTTTTTTCATGTCGGGCGAGATTATGGCTCGTTTGACGGCTACTAAAGTGCCGTCTTTGAGAATGCCCTTGAAAACGCACGAGAAGCTTCCTTTACCGACAAGGGATTCTTGATCGAACCCGTTTGTGGCGCGTTCGAGCTCGTCGTAGTTGAACATTTGGGCTCGGCGGATCTTGAGCTCATCTAAATTTTCAGGCCGGATTTTACCGCTCTCCTTACGAAACGAGCCGTGTCTGTTGTAACTTCTCATTGATTTTGCCGAGCATTTGCAATTTCTTAGCTTGTAACGAACATATAAGATGGAAGTTAGGCAAACGGCACTCACGAGAAAAACGGCAAACGAGACCTCGGCTATGAGAATCGGAATCTGCAATGTCCAAAACTTTTCGTTACTCTTCTTTTGTCCACCAAAACCAGTCGAGCAATTGTTGAAACAGTCGGAGGATACGCAGTTTGTGCAGTTGTACGCGCATTGCCGGTCGGAATTCGAGCCGCATTGTGCCACCTCATACATCTCGTTCGGACAGCCGTCGCCACATGGCAGGCAGATATGGGTGGAGCCGTCTGAGGAGGATTTACAGAGCCCACTCACGTTTTTGAACTCGTAAAAACCATTCGGGCATGGGTCTGACCGGCAAATTTCAGGCGAGACGGCTACAGGAAGGGAAGAAGGGAAATTCGAGCCCCAGCAAATGGGTAAAAAGGAAGTCTCGGCGAGAATTCCGCACGTGAAATAATCGCCGGCGGCGATTTCGTAAAGCGAGACTCCGGCAGGTGGCGGAGTGCTTTTCTCGACGGTATAACCCCAGCAAACGATACTTCTATCGGCGCTCTTAATCCCACAGGCGTGAAATTTGCCGCCGACAACTGACAGAATCGGGAAATCCGGCGCACTATCGACATTAAGCTGACCGAAAAACGGGCGGGGCGAACCGGATACGGAAATTTCGTTTTCAAGATCCAAACTTTTCCCCCAACAGATGACTCGCGAGTGAACCCCTTCAAGAATGCCACAGACATGAAAACCCCCGGCGGCAATTTTTCGAAATTTAAGCTCTTTCGGCACCAAACCGATTACATTACTGCTGGTTTGGTCACCCCAGCAAAAGACACTCCTGTTTTGGGAAAACAGGCCACAGTTAAACTCAGAGCCTGCGGAGATTGATTGGATCTGCCCGTCGAAGGTGTAGCTCTTGGTCATGTTGTAGCCCCAGCAGTCTACGAGCGACGTGTTCCTGAATTTTCCGGTGAGGGCCTTGCGCAGGCCGCAGAGGTGGTGGTCTCCGGCGCTGATTTCTAGGTATTCGGAGCCCCGAGAACCCAGCGGCGAGCCCATGGGAATGAAGCCCGTGCTGCCCCAGCAGAAGGGCCGGCTCGAGCCCGTCTGGAGACCGCACACGAAGCCGTTTCCGGCGGTCAGGCCGAGGAACGGCGAGTACGGCGGCGCGCCGCGGACGATGGCGGGGTTGGAGCCGTAGCAGCTGGCGAGGTGTGAGCCGTCGGATTTCAGGCCGCAGAAGGCGGGGCCGCTCTCGCCGTATGATATGGCGATGGGGGACATCGAGCCGAGGCCGTAAACCTCGCCGCAGAGCACGCCGGAGAAGAATAGCAAGAAAATCATCAGCTTCCGGTCGGTGAAAAAGGCTCGGCTTTTCCATGAGTGGAGCTGATACATGTCGTGAAAGTTCAATATTCGCCGGCGGGTTTTGTAAAGTTATTATCTTGTAACTATTTAATCAGAAAGAGTGGCGGAGGAGGTGGTGGCTGAAGGTGAAGCGTTTACAGTGTGTGTGTTGGTGTGTGAGAGAGAATGAGAAGAGGGGGAAAGTGAGCTGGTGGGTAGCATTTAATATTGATCGGACGGTGGATGTTCGTCCGGTTTGATCCGACGGCCAGATTTTGATCTTGGAACAGTAAAGCATTTGAATGAACCGCTGGATGTCACGCTCGCATTGAATGCTGGCTTTTGTAGGTTCAGCTACCTCTGTGATGTGGCAATGGTTATTTTAAGAGGGGCATTTTTTTTTTTT